CGAAAGTCTGCTAGAACTGATACATGAATTCAGCCAAGTCGCAGGATACAAAATCAATGTACAGAAATCAGTTGCATTCTTATACACTAATAATGAAGCAACAGAAAGACAAATCAAGAAACTAATCCCATTCACAATTGCACCAAGAAGCATAAAATACCTAGGAATAAACCTAACCAACGATGTAAAAGATCTGTATGCTGAAAACTGTAGAAAGCTTATGAAGGAAACTGAAGAAGATATAAAGAAATGGAAAAACATTCTGTGCTCATGGATTGGAAGAATAAATATTGTTAAAATGTCAATACTACCCAAAGCTATCTACACATTCAATGCAATCCCAATCAAAATTGCACCAGCATTCTTCTCAAAGCTAGAACAAGCAATCCTAAAATTTGTACGGAACCACAAAAGACCCCAAACAGCCAAAGTAATTTTGAAGAAGAAGACCAAAGCAGGAGGCATCACAATCCGAGACTTTAGCCTCTACCACAAAGCTGTAATCATCAAGACAGCATGGTATTGGCACAAAAACAGACACATAGACAATGGAATAGAATAGAAACCCCAGAATTAGACCCACAAAAGTATGGCCAACTAATCTTTGACAAAGCAGGAAAGAATATCCAATGGAAAAAAGACAGTCTCTTTAACAAATGGTGCTAGGAGAACTGGACAGCAATGTGCAGAAGGATGAAACTAGACCACTTTCTTACACCATTCACAAACATAAACTCAAAATGGATAAAGGACCTGAATGTGAGACAGGAAACCATCAAAACCCTAGAGAAGAAAGCAGGAAAAGACCTCTCTGACCTCAGCCGCAGAAATTTTTTACTTGACATATCCCCAAAGGCAAGGGAATTAAAAGCAAAAATGAACTATTGGGACCTCATCAAGATAAAAAGTTTCTGCACTGCAAAGGAAACAATCAACAAAACTACAAGGCAAACAACGGAATGGGAAAAGATATTTGCAAATGACATGTGAGACAAAGGGCTAGTATCCAAAATCTCTAAAGAGCTTACCAAACTCCACACCCGAAAAACAAATAATCCAGTGAAGAAATGGGTAGAAAACATGAATAGACACCTCTCTAAAGAAGACATCCAGATGGCCAACAGGCACATGAGAAGATGCTCAACGTCACTCCTCATCAGGGAAATAGAAATCAAAACCACACTCAGATATCACCTCATGCCAGTCACAGTGGCTAAAATGAACCAATCAGGAGAGTATAGATGCTGGTGAGGATGTGGAGAAACAGGAACCCTCTTGCACTGTTGGTGGGAATGCGAACTGGTGCAGCCACTCTGGAAAACAGTGTGGAGGTTCCTCAGAAAATTAAAAATAGATCTACCTGATGACCCAGCAATAGCACTGCTAGGAATTTACCCAAGGGATACAGGAGTGCTGATGCATGGGGCACTTGTACCCCAATGTTTATAGCAGCACTTTCAACAATAGCCAAATTATGGAAAGAGCCTAAATGTCCATCAACTGATGAATGGATAAAGAAATTGTGGTTTATATACACAATGGAATACTACGTGGCAATGAGAAAGAATGAAATATCGCTTTTTGTAGCAACATGGATGGAACTGGAGAGTGTTATGCTAAATGAAATAAGTCACAGAGAGAAAGACAGATACCATATGGTTTCACTCTTATGTGGATCCTGAGAAACTTAACAGAAGACCATGGGGATGGGAAGGAAAAAAAAAAAAAAAAGAGGTTAGAGAGGGAGGGAGCCAAAACATAAGAGACTCTTAAAAACTGAGAACAAACTGAGGGTTGATGGGGGGTGGGAGAGTGGGGAGAGTGGGTGATGGGTATAGAGGAGAGCACCTGTTGGGATGGGCACTGGGTGTTGTATGGAAACCAATATGACAATAAATTTCATATTAAAAAAAATAATTCCAACTGTGGCCAAAGATATAATATTCTTAACCCCAAGAATAGGACAAGGATTCCTACAGAAAGGGTATGTAAATTAGTAATAAAAAAAAAATCAACAAACCCGGTTTTAGTTTGGATTCTGCTTCAAATAGAGATTTTATCTTAGGAAATCACCTAATTTCAACCTGTGATAAAGTAACAGATTTCTAAAAAATACTTTTGCAGCAAGAAACCTTATACAGAGACTCTAAAGGAATGAAAATTCTACCACTTAGTTGCTTGGTAGAAAAGCAAGTACATTAGCTTTATTTAACTGATGAGACTTTTTTTTTTTTTTAATTTTTTTTTTCTACGTTTATTTATTTTTGGGACAGAGAGAGACAGAGCATGAAGTCTCTGATGAGACTTTTTAAAACAAGTCTACTTCAGTCTATCTAGGAGAGAAATACTAATGCCCACAGAAAATACAGGTAAGAAAAGAGTTAACACCTTTATTTTATCCAGTGGAGGAATATACAGTGCATCCAACTACCCTATAGGAGCTCATTTTAAAGGAAAGGAGTATTAGTTTTCATTCCTTTTTGTTAACTATTTTCATCGACAGACTTTATGGATACACAGGAAATCATTTTAATGTAAATATTATAGTAAAAATGAAAAAACAATAGTTTTGCTAATTCATGTCTCTGACAAAAATATCAAATAAAAAAATTATAACCAAAGCATGCTGGAAAAGTGGCTGACTCCCCGTCTGAGGTAGGGAAAGTACAAGATGAGAGAGGAACATCATTTACGCAAAAAAGCTGCAGAGACATTATGAGAATAAAAAAAAAACCCGATGGTAGTAGGTTACAACAAAAAACTAAAGAAGACCAACGAACCATAGCAATATTAAAAAAGGAGAAAAGTCTACCGAAAACTGACAGCTAATAAATGTATAAAAATGATATAATCATTTGTAATCACTTCTTGTAACATTTACTTCAGGCAAAGATTATTAATGGATGCTAAGACCACTGGATGATAACTTTTGGTAGAGAGCATAACTGTACAGTCTTCAAGTATCTCCCCCAGTTATTTATAAAGTTTACAAATGGAGAGTTCTGGTCTTACCACCATAACCATGTTGTCAAGCTTAGCTTCAACTAATGCACAACCTGACATTATAGCTTCCTGACGTGATGAAGTGGAAGATACCCATTATCACCCTGCCAGAAATGATCTGAATCGAATCAAAAAGAAATGATTACAAGAATCCATATGTGGAATATTCTGGATTCTACAAAGGATTCTTTGTCATACACAGAGGAAGACAGAGGATTACATTGGGTTACATTGAGGGAGACTACAGAGACATAGTAGTCAAATGCAATGATATATAAATTTGGGTTGGATCCTGAATTTAAAAAAACAAAAAGCCATAGCCCGCATTGGGCTCCACATACAGCGTGGGGCCTGCTTGGGGCTCTCTCTCCCCCTCTCTCTCTGCCCCTTCCCTGTTTGCATTCTCTTGCTCTCATAATAAATAAATAAAATTTAAAAAACAAAACAAAAAAACCCAAAACCAAAAAAAGCTGTAAAGGATATTTTAGGAAAATATGAGTATAGATTAAAAATAATACTGATTTTTTTTTTTAATTTTTTTTTTCAACATTTATTTATTTTTGGGACAGAGAGAGACAGAGCATGAACGGGGGGAGGGGCAGAGAGAGAGGGAGACACAGAATCGGAAACAGGCTCCAGGCTCTGAGCCATCAGCCCAGAGCCTGACGCGGGGCTCGAACTCACGGACCGCGAGATCGTGACCTGGCTGAAGTCGGACGCTCAACCGACTGCGCCACCCAGGCGCCCCACTGATTTTTTTTTTTTTAAGGTATGGTAATAGCAGTATGATTGTGTAGTAAAATGTCCTTTCTCAGGGAGAAAAAATGCCAAGATATTTAGGAGTGAAGTGTCATGATGTCTGCAGTCCATGTCCAAATGGCTGGCAAAAAGAGTGCATATGTATATAAAGACAGATGGAGTGTGTGTGGCAAGACATTAAGAATTATCTGGCTAAAGGGTAAATAAGTGTTCACTGAACAACGTTTAACCTTTTTATGGGTTTGAAAGTTTCTAAAAATAAAAAAATACACAATTAATGGGAAACAATTATTCACAGTGATTGAGGGTAGAGCTCAAGAATCAACAGACTTGTATTTACATCTAGTTCTGCTACTTCATAGAGGCGGAACCCTAAGCAACCTAAGTATTTTGGTTAAAAAAAATTTTTTTTTTCATTTTTAAAATGGGTTTTTGTGGTTTCTTCCTCCACAATTCATGTTATACTTTCAAACTTTACCACCCCACTTATGAACTGATCCATACCCATACCAGAGAAAAGGCAACTAGATATAGGTCGTCCTTGTCTCTTTATATGAACGTAAACCTACATTGCTCACACAATTTCAACTTCCATAAGCCTTACAATTCAAACCAACAAACAACTCATTAATTAACACAAAAATATCAGATTTAGTCTTGATAACAGACTTGAAAATAACAACATAATTCACAAATTGTATAAGTGCCAGCATTATGTGATCAAAATAATGCTGGGCTTAGTACAGCAGGAGAAGGTACAGGTGTAAGTTCTGGCTTTAATTAGTATGTAACTTTGAGGGAGTCAATAATCTCTTGGAAGCTTCAGTTTCTTTACCAGTAAAATAAGAGGTCACACCAGATTTTTCCAGTCTTAAGCTGCTCTAAGATACTGCAAGCCAACAGGTTTTTTTCCTCTTAACTTTTTATGCATTCTAAGTTTCTTTCTGAAGCTTCCTTTTAATTTTACACTTCAGGTGTGTTAATCTTCACTATATTCCTAGCCTAACACCCCCCCGCCCCCTCCAAATTCTTCTACTCCCACCCAGGCCCATACTAGCTAAAATGGTAGGGACTGCTTTCCTGAGATAATTTTTATTTGAAATTTAGCACAATTGATGCAATTAGCTGATAGTTAGTTATGTCCATCAGGCAAAAACTTAGGTAATATTTAGTTGTAAGTTGTGAAATTCTGTAAACTTTTGAATTTTAAATAATTTTGAAGTTTAAAAACTCCTTACTTCCTTCCTGGTTCTTAGGGTAACATCTTGCACAAGCCGAGACACTGTTTCTTTCATTTTCTCTATATCTTCTTCTTTTTGCTTCTCCTCAAGTAGAGCCTTCAAAAAAATAATCACTTGATGTCATTATAGATTACACCATTATTAATAAAGGTAACATAATAAATGGTTAAAAATCTATCCAATAATCACTTTGTGGAAAGCAAACATCTTATGCTAAACTTCTGGGACATCTCCACTTGGAATCTTGCCTAATCTGTTATTTTCCCTCACCTTCTCACCTGGCTTTATCCTAAAAATTTATTATTTTCCTCTGGTATTTATTTCGGCCAGGGCCATCACTCTTCTAACCCCTAGAAATCTTAGAGTTATTTTTCAATTTTCCTTTTCCTTTACTCCCTGTACAAAATAAGTCATCAAGTCTAGGTATTAAAGTCTTGGAAAAAAATCTCTTGGACTTCCCCTTCTTTCCATTATTTGATATTATTCAAATTATGTCCCTTGTCACCTCATTCCTTGATGTTTCTATCTATCCAATCATTTTCATCTCCCAAATAAAAAATATTCTTATAATCCTAGTTCTGTTGTCAGTCACACTCCCATTTCTCTGCTTCTCTCTGGAGTAAAACTCTAAATTCTGCACTTGCTCATCTCCAATACTTTTTCTTACACCAACTCCAATCAGTCTTTCAACCATCCATTGTCTCCATATTAATAACCTGTGAGTCAATTCTGAGTAACTATCTTATTTGATCTGTCAGCAGCACTTGAGATAACTGATTACTCTCTTTTCTTTGTTTTATTTTCTTTATTCAGCTTTTAGAACACCACAGTATGGGTTTTCCTCCTAACTCACTGATCACTCCTTTTCAGTCTGCATTGCTGTTTCTTCCTCTTCTTCTAAACCTCTTTAAAAATTGCACTATCCATCAGAGGGGAGATGGGTGGAGGGATGGGTGAAATAGGCTATAGGGATTAAGAAGTGCACTTGCAATGAGCACTGGTAATATCTGGAATCGCTAAATCACTATGTTGCACACCTGAAACTAATATCACACTGTATTTTAACTATACTGAAATTAAAAAAAAAAAATTGATTACCCAAGACTTAAGTCCTTAATCCTTCATTTCCATCTATCCTTTTATGGTTTAATTCAGTATCATGGTTTTAAATATCATTTATATGCTGATAACTCCCAAATTTATACCTCTAGACCAAATATCTTTCTGAGCCTGGAAGTGCTCCAATTCTAGCATGATTGAATCTTTTTTTTTTTTATCATCATATAATAAGTGGCCCTGTGTTTTGACTGTACTATTTTCCAAAGATTCTATACACATTCCCACCTGTTTTTTTTCCCACCTGTTTAATAAATTTCCTGCTGTTTAAATAGGTAAGCTAGTAAGAGGTACAGCTGGTTTTTTGTTTTTTTTGTTTTTGTTTTTTTTTAGGTAGAATTAACAATAAGGTGTTATATTAGCTTCAGGTGCACAATAGAATGATTCAACAGTTCTATACATTACTCAGTGTTCACCATTAAGTGTACTTTTAATCCCCTTTACCTATTTGCTCCATCTCCCTACCCACCTGCCCTCTCTCAACCACCAGTTTGTTCTCCATATTTAAGAGTCTGTTTCTTTTTTTAATCATTTTGTTTTTTAAATTCCACATGAGTGAAATCATATGGTATTGTCTTTCTTCTGACTTATTTCACTAGTATTATACCTTCTAGATCCATCCATGTTGTTACAAATGGTAAGAATTTGTTCTTTTTATGGCTGATTAATGTTCCATTGTATATATATACAGCCCATCCATTCTTTTTTTAATTTAAATTCAAGTTAGTTAACATATAGTGTAGTAGTGGTTTCAGAATTTAGTGATTCATCACCTTCATATAACACTCAGTGCTCATCCCAACAAGTGCCCTCCTTAATGCCCATCACCCATGCAGCCCATCCCCCATCCAACAACCCTCCAGAACCCTGTTTTTCTGTATTAAAGAGTTTCTTATGATTTGCCTCCCTGTTTTAATCTTATTTTTTCTTTCCCTTCTCCTATGTTCATCTGTTTTGTTTCTTAAATACCACATGAGTGAAATCATATCCTATCTGTCTGTCTTTGACTGACTTATTTCACTTAGTATAATACACTCTAGTTCCATCCATGTCATTGCAAATGGATTTCATTCCTTTTGATTGTCAAGTAATATTCCGTTGTATATATATACCACCTCTTCCTTATCCATTCATCAGTTGACAGACATTTGGGCTCTTTTCATAATTTGGCTATTATTGATAGCACTGCTATAAATTATTGATAGCACTGCTATAAACATTGGGGTGCACGTGTCCCTTCAAATCAGCATTTTTGTATCCTTTGGATATATACCTAATAATGCAATTGCTGGGTTGTAGGGTAGTTCTTTTTTTTTTTTTTTTTTTTAATTTTTTTTTCAACGTTTATTCATTTTTGGGACAGAGAGAGACAGAGCATGAACGGGCGAGGGGCAGAGAGAGAGGGAGACACAGAATCGGAAACAGGCTCCAGGCTCTGAGCCATCAGCCCAGAGCCCGACGCGGGGCTCGAACTCACGGACCGCGAGATCGTGACCTGGCTGAAGTCGGACACTTAACCGACTGCGCCACCCAGGCGCCCCAAGTTGTAGGGTAGTTCTATTTTGAATTTTTCGAGGAACCTCCATACTGCTTTCCTGAGTAGCTGTACCAATTTGCATTCCCACCAACAGTAAAAAAGTGTTCCCCTTTCTCTGCATCCTCACCAACATCTGTTGTTGCCTGAGTTGTTGATTTTAGCTATTCTCACAACACCAAATCTTCTTTATCCATTCATACATGGATGGGCACTTGGACTGTTTCCATATCCTGGTTATTGTAAATAATGCAGTAACAGCTGTTATGATGTAACCACTTTGTGTGGGAGAATAAGACAATGAGGAAATAGAGAAGCATCATAAGAGAACTATAACACGCTGTGTTCCATGTCTGTTTGTGTGATCAGTTGAGAGAACCCCTGGCTTTGGAATAAGCAACTGAAGGTTGCTTAAACTGAAGGTGGGATTCCTCTAACAATTAAACAATGAGTCAGGAGGGAGCTTAATATGCAGCCATAACCAGTCTCTTTAAGGGTCTGTTGACTTTGGACCTGAGTGAGAAGATTTGAGGGATAGGCAATGAGTATTGTCACTACTTCTCTGTCCATTGTTGTTTACAAAAAATGTTCATCTTTAGTGACCCAATGTTAACAATGCTCATATGACTAGGCTTCAGAGGGGAAAGATAAGTAATTTTGTCCTGCTCTTAACTGTTCTAGCTAACTTAGAGTTAAGAGCAATTCCCAAGAATATTATGTGTATGTTGTGCCTTTCAACCATCCTAAGAGACAGTATGCAAATCACAGATGGGATTATTAGCAGAAAGGCATGACAAGCATTTTGCATTCCCAGTTTAAATAAGGGTATTATTTCATTTTTATTTATTACCTTCTTAATATGTGATTTATATCACTGGTTTTGTTTTAATAGCCTTCTTGGAAAACCTCTATCATGTTAAGAGGAAATATAAATAAAGTATTTCCTGTGTACTCCCCATATTTCTCAGTAGAGTATTATGCAAATGTTAGGTATCCAATAAATGTTGGTTAAATGAAGTAATGATTTAATGATCTCTACATAAAGGAGGCAACAACATCAAAACCAAATCCATCCACCTGGTGACTTCTATAAACTATACACCATTTATATGGAAGTGATAAAACAAAAAAATATGATATGTGATACACAGGAATCACAATTGTTAGAGGGTTAAAAAAAGAACAGTGGCGTGAAGGTTCCAGTTAATAAATCGTTACAGCTAAATTTAATTCCTGTCAATTAAGCTTCTGCTCTATTAGAGTAATTATGTAGGTGATGAAGGGGAAATCAAGATGAGTAAGATTGATCTGATTCAACCGAATAAAATATAGCATATTGTAGTAAAGTGCTATAATAGCTTTTTTAAAGTATGAGACTATAGGGGATGAAGATTATTCACATAAGGATTGGAGACATAAAGTCTGATATAAAAGTTTTGAGAGAGGGTTGACATTTTATCATCTTTTTAAAAAATTTTATCATTTCATTTCATTTCATTTCAGCAATCTCTACACCCAACATGGGGTTCAAATTCATGCTCTTCCAACTGAGTCAGCCGGGCATCCCTATTTTATCATATTTTGTGGTTAAGTCTTACCATGAAGAATACAGTTATGTCTATCAATGCAGAGCACAGCAGTATTATTTTCATATGTTTATTCTGTAGTTACCGATTTCCTTATTATTAGGTCACATGGAGGAATTTTCAGTATTATATTTGTAAACATGTTTACTAGTTTTCTTACCTGATTTTTTTGAAGGTTAGCTTCTTCTAAGAGCTGCATGCTATTTCTGGCTCTTACAATAGCTTCATATTTTTCATTTTCTAATTCATTGCACTTTGCTTGTAATTCTCTGGTCTGTTTTTCCAAATGTGTTTTTTGTGCTCTTAATTGAGTGGCTTCTTGCATTGCTACAGAGAGTCTAAAAGTCAATAATCACATTGTGAAAGTTAAATATCTTTAAAGGGAAGAAGGAAAACAGGAGATTTAGTGAGCATCTAGTATAGAACAAACACTATTCTGGTTACTTTCATATGTATTTTCTCATTTGATCTGCACAAAAGTTTTGTAAAGTAGGTTTCATTATTTCCATCTTAAAGAACAACAGACCCAGAGAGATTAAGCATGTGATTAAGTCCATATGGCTAATGAGCTGTAGTGCTGAGAATGAGCCTAGATATTCATTCTAATTATGTTACACTTTTTACAGTATCACATTACATTATATAATCACAAGACAATGTTTTAAAGCAAATCCTTAAAGAATAAGTTGTTGTTTCTATTTATATTGTCTTCTAAAAATTTTCTTTTTTTGCTTGACTCCCTTTTCCCACTCTCTACCCAATTTAATGTTAATTTACTAATGTATATCGTTAAATATTTTTCTCTGTGTTCATAAAATTGTATACACATATATATGCATGTATACACATAGATAAGCATGAAAAGTACATATACATTGGTCCATAGGTATTTAAACATAATTTTTTTGTGTTATAAAAATTAAGATCATAGGGTGCCTGGGTGGCTCAGTCAGTTAAGCACTGATTTTGTTTTAGGTCATGATCTCACAGTTTGTGAGATCAAGCCACAAGTTGGTCTCTGTGCTGACAGCATGGAACCTGCTTGGGATTCTCTCTCCCCCGCTTTCTCTGCTCTCTTTCTCTCTCTCTCTCAAAACAAACATTAAAAAAAATTAAGATCATAATATACACCCTTTTCTGCACTTGCTTTTCTCATTCAATATCTTACAGAAATCACCTCAAGCAATACATCCCAAAGCTCTTTCTTTTCCTGGTATGATGGATGGAACTTCATTTCACTATTAATTTGTATTTCCCTGAATACTGGAGAGCTTAAGCACATTTTTAGTTTGTTAGCTATGTGAATTGTCCTCTTTGAACTTCCTCTTCATAACTTCTGCCAATTTTTTTTTCTGATGGGTTATTTGCTTATTCCTTTATATGAACTCTTTTAATATTAAAATATAAATGCTCAGATTGTTCTGTATGCTACAAATATTTTTCCAAATCTACTTTTTTGGTTGTTGCTGCCTACTGACTATTTAGGAAATTTTCACTACACTAAAAATGTTCACTTTAATATAGCTATTAATATAGCTGAAAGATAATATTATCTTTCAGCTTCCAGGATTCATTTTTTAATAAAGACTATCTCCCTCATTAATACATTGCTAATGTAATTTCATAGATTTCCTCAAAAGATTGCTATGTCTTTAATATTTTTAACCAGTAAATCTTAATGCATCTGGAGTTTACTTCTGAATGTGTTGTAAGAGAGGAGTCCAATTTAACTTTTTTTCAGATGATGGCCAGTTGTATGAATACCATTAGTAACTGATGAAGTAAAATTATCCCTTTAACATACTAAAATATGCAAATATAATGATTTAGTTATGGATTATCATGTCTCCTTGATCTATTGGCCTATTCTATACCCAAATCATATCAATTTGATTATGACTTTATAATAGGTTCTGATACATTGTTGTTGCTGTTTTTTGGTATATCTGCTTCATTCATTTTTTTTAACTTTTTAAAAAATGTGTATTTATTTTTGAGAGAGAGAGAGAGAGAGAGAGAGAAAATGCAAGTGGGGAAGGGACAGAGAGAGAGGGAGATACAGAATCTCAAGCAGATTCCAGGCTCCGAGCCATCAGCATAAAGCCTGACACGGGGCTCGAACTCATGGACCATGAGATCATGACCTGAGCCAAAGTGAAACACTTAATGAACTGAGCCACTTAGGCGCCCCTCTGCTTCATTCTGAATGAAGTGAGATAAGGTCTACTACCATTTTAGTCAGGGTTCTTAGCTGCAGTAGTAGAAGCCAACTCTAATTTACGCAGAAAAAAGGTTTATTAAAAAAGATATTGGTAAGTTCACAGACTTACTGGGAGAGCTGGAAAATCAAGTTTGAAGCTTTGTAGCAAGAAATATGCCTAAAACTTCACCACAGGATTAGTTGATTCTCTCTTAAAGAACTATAATCTGGGGAATTACCCAAACATGGAAGGGAGATAAGATGCAGATGGCCCAAAATAATGATCATAACTATATTTTATCAAATCACCCTTTCATCAAATTTCCTAGCTTTTGCATCACATATTTAGCTATCCTATTACTTACTATACATAAGGTTATTAATGTATCTTTTTCAATATGGTGCTATTTTTCATTATATAAAGTCTCTCTTTGTTCTGTTTGCTGCTTTTTACCATGAAACCATACCTAGTATAATAGTAAGACTCACTCCTCCTTTCTTTTTTGTTTATAGTTGATAATATGCTCCACTAAAACCTTTACTTTTTTATATTTATTTATGACAGAGAGAGAGAGGGAGAGAGACAGAATCTGAAGCAGGCTCCACACCCAGTGTGGAGCCCAATGTGGGGCTCGATTTCACAACTGTGAGATCATAACCTGAGCCTAAATCAAGAGTTGGACGCTTAACCTACTGAGCTACCCAGGCGCTGCTAAAACTTTTATTTTAAATTTAAAATAAATCATCTTTCTTTCCTTGAAATCTTTGTTCTAATTCATTTATCCTTTGTTTTAGGTATTTTCTAATATAACATATTACTGGGCCTTACTTTTTAATCAAAATTTGCAAGTCTCTGCCTTTTAATGGAATTCAGTCCTCTCATATTTTAATGTGATGATTTATATATATGACATTGTTCATTCTATTTCACTTAAAAATTTTTTTTAATGTTTATTTATTATTGAAAGACAGAGAGACACAGAGTGTGAGCAGGAGAAGGGTAGAGAGAGGTAGAATCCGAAGCAGGCTCCAGGCTCCGAGCTGTCAGCACAGAGCCCGACGTAGGGCTCGAACTCACAAACTGCGAGATCATGACCTGAGCTGAAGTTGGTCACCCAACCAACTGAGCCACCCAGGCGCCCCCATTCTATTTCACTTTAGTTAAAGCATTGGTGGTAGAAGATGAAGCAGTCCCTATCTCTCCCAAAGAGGTATAGGGCACATGGCACTTTACTAGCATTATTAGTTGAGCCATTTGCTTTACCATGGCATTCTCAGGGTCAAGCAGAGCAAGTAACTCATGAAAGGCATATGCCAACTTCATCTCTTAAAAGCAAGCTTTGTTTAGGACTGTGTGCATTCCAATCCTCAGACAAGTCTCTCTGACGCTCACTTCCAGGCTTCACTAACACTCATGTCAGAAAAAGCCTTGCAAACAAAAGATTCACATGCATTCAACAGTCTAGCAGCCCCAGCAACCACTTGGCTCTGTAAAGTCAGACTGGTGTTAGGAGTCAAGTGGAATTACAGTAAAGCAGATTCAGATAATCAGTTTCAAAATATATAGGTTTTCACAATTTTATAACATAAAAGGTGTATTACTACTATTCTTACTCTAATAAAAGCGCTTCTACATGCTCTATAGCCAAATCTTGCAAGAATCCTGTCAACTTGCTAAAATTGGGTCCAATTCCATCTTTGTAATAATGGTAACAACAAGGATAATAGCAAAAACTTGTAATAACATTCTTTGTGCTATGTACTTTATGTTAAAGAAAACATAATCCTCAATATCTTCAACAATGCTGTGAGATAGGTTACATCATTAACTTATGAGATAGGATATAAAGTTATAGTACATAAAAGATAGGAGATAGGTTATATCATTACAATTATCTTATAGATGAAGAAACGGAAGTACAGAGAGTAATCAACATGCCCAGGGTTATTTATCTAGTTACTGGTGAAGCTGGAGTTTGAACTTAGTCTAGGTCCAGAGCCAGTGTTCCTAGTAAATATACTCTACTGCCAAATAGAAACTTCCACTTAAATGGTACAGATCCAACCCACAGATCTATGTATCTATAACTACACAGAGGGGGCGGTCATTTCAACTAAAGTTGGGGATCAGAAGACATACCAAAACCCAGGGTATTGAGTGAAAGTTTGAATATTGAACACCATTACTTCCAGACTCCTTCTTCAACTTTGGAATACACTCACGCTTGTGCATTTCTACTCAGCCCACAGCAGAAGATTAATGAATCCTACCCTGGGAAAACTGGCTCAAGAAAGATTCTCATATATGGGGACTGCCTAAGGAAAAAGCCAGCTTACTGACTAAACATAATAAAGTCTGGCAGATCCCAACCCACCTGTACACACTTAGCTTCCTATCTGCTTTCTGGGGTCTTACTCTTTATTTATTTTTAACTGAAACATATTTGATATACAACTCTGTATTAGTTTCAAGTATACAACATAATGATTTGGTATTTTTTTACATTGCAAAATGTTCACTGTAGTAAATTTAGTTAATATATATCACCACATACAGCTATAATTTTTTCTTATGAAAACTTTTAAGATATATTCTCTTAGCAACTTTCAAATATACAATACAGTATTATTATCAATAATCACCATGTTGTACATTACATCCTATGATTTATTTCTTTTATAACTGGAAATTTGTATCTTTTGACCATCATCTCCCATTCCATCCCCTACCCCCTCCCCGGCAAACACCAGTCTGTTCTCTATCTATGAGTTTGGTGTTTAAAGATATGGAATGCTTCACAGATCCGCATGTGGGCCATCCTAATTTTCTCTGTATTCCAATTTTTAGTATATGTGCTGCTCAAATACTTTGGTGTCTTACTATTAAATATCAATGGATAGAAAGGATCACCAAGCATTTGAAGAAAGACAGATGGGCAAACAGAACAAAAGGAATGTAGAGAGAACACAGATAATGCAGATAGCAGAAGAAAACCTTATAAGATACATATTTAATACACTGAACTAAGATATATTATATATTAAATAAGAATAAGCTACTACAGAAAAAGAAACAGAATAAGAAATGGCTCTTTAAAATAAAATTTATGATAAAGATGGGGCACTTGGGTGGATCAGTTGGTTATGTGTCCAAATCTTGGTTTCTTTTTTTTTTTTTAATTAATTAATTAATTTATTTTTATTTATATATGAAATTTATTGTCAAATTGGTTTCAGCTCAGGTCATGATCTCACAGTTCCTGAGTTTGAGCCCTGCACCAGGCTCTGTGCTGACAGCATGGAGTCTGCTTGGGATTCTCTCTTTCCCTCTCTCCCTGCCCCTCCCCTGCTTGCTCATGCACGCTCTCTCTCTCTCTCAAAATAAATTAATTAAAAGAAAAAAGTCAACAGATGGCTAGTTAGAAGAAAATTTAAGGAAACCTCCAAGAAAGGAGAAAATCAATGAAGGAATGGAAAATCAGGGAGAAAAGATAGAAAAATTAGGTAATCAATCCGTAAGGTCCAATATGAAACTCATATTAAGTTCAAGAAAAAAGAACAGAGGAAAAAAATGAATAAAACCATCAAATGAAAATTCCTTGAACCGAAGGACATGAATTTCTAGACTGAAGTGTTCCCAGTAAGATGAGAATGAAAAGGGATTCTCATTGAATGTGCACACTGCAATTTTAGAACACTGATTGTGGTGGTGGGGTGGTAGATGATCCTAAAAGTCTTCAGAGGGAAAAGAAGAGTCAAAGAGAAAATATTGGAATTTTGAATGACATAGGAATTTTTTCCCTACATCCAAAGGCTAGATAATATAAGGAAAATGTCAACATTCTAAGAATAAGTGATTTAAAACCTTGGATTTCCAACCTATGATTCATTACTCAAGGAACTATCAAATACCTTTGAAGCAGGATAATAATATTTCTAAATAAGCAACATCTTAATAAATGTATCCCACATATCTTCAGAAAGCTGATGAATCCATCAAATGGATATTTGGTGGTATCCATCAAAATGAGGGGGAGTTAAGAAAGAAAGCAGCATTCATGGGGATGCAAAAGACAGGCTTCAATATAGGAATGGCAAGAAGGAAATCGCAGGACCTAGTGAATTAAAGTTTTAAAATGAGAGCTTGCATCAGTCCTAGTGAACAGTTTGAGGCAGAGGATGGAGGAAAAGGATGTAATGGCAATGACCTCATGTGGTTGACCAGATTGAGAGTCATTTTAGAGCTTTGGTAGAGTATTTAGCCAAGAATGAGTATAAAGTACATAGAAAACTTACTATGTGAATAAATGAGATAATTAACAAGAATGTATTTTTCTTTTTTATTTTTTTTTTAAATTTTTTTTTCAACGTTTTTATTTATTTTTGGGACAGAGAGAGACAGAGCATGAACGGGGGAGGGGCAGAGAGAGAGGGAGACACAGAATCGGAAACAGGCTCCAGGCTCCAAGCCATCAGCCCAGAGCCTGACGCGGGGCTCGAACTCACGGACCGCGAGATCGTGACCTGGCTGAAGCCGGACGCCTAACCGACTGCACCACCCAGGCGCCCCAACAAGAATGTATTTTTCATTACAATGCTTGTGGTACTATACGATTTTGAAACAATGCGTATATATTTTCCTGATAAAAATAAAATTAAAAATGAATAAAGCCAATTTATAACTAATATATAAAAACCACCTTACAGAAATAATATAATTAAATAATTTTATTTGGTCAATATTAAAAAAATACTCAGATTAGTTTGAAAACATTTCATAATAATCCAAAGAGCTATAATTGTGGGAAAGATTTAAGACTTTTATTCTTTGTAACACTGAAGACTGCTTTATTCTTTGTGACAGTTTATTAGACTTTATTCTACCTTGTTCTATTTCATTAAGACCATTAAAACAATTAAGATCCAAAAACCATTTTTTACTGTTCAGAATTCTCATCATTTGTTAGTCTAATAAGTAGACTAGTTCTCCTCCAAATACTTGTTCATTCTATTAAATCCTAAATCTTATACAAGGTAAAGGTTGAAAGTGAAAAGAATTGTGAGTTTTCTAGAAAGAAGTTAACTTTACTCTGAAAGAAGGGGAAGATTTGAGAAAGTAAAATAATAAGCATGGTGCTAGGTTCCCTATATATTCTTATCTCATTTAATCCTAAAGAAACTACAGCTAAGTGAGGTTGGTTAACTCCTCCAAGGTACAAAGACAGAATACACTACAACCAGAAATCAAAGCAACTTTGCCTCTAAATCTCAAAATCTTTCTCCTCCAACAATTTATATTCCTGTCGCCAAATAGCCTCACTTTGAAAATATCATCAAATTAATCTTCATAAAATATTAATTTCATCATGTAATCCTGACTCAAGAATCTGTAATACATCACATGAAATCCAAATTTGACTATCTCCAAGGCCCTCCATATTTTATCCAACATATTCACTAATTTCCAATGCATGGCCTTCTATTCTACTTAAAATCGAGACCATATTTCAACATCTTTAATTAAAGAATTTATGTATTCTATTATGCTTAGAGTAGGGATAGAAAATAAAAAGCTGAACAATGATTGGAACGAAATTCACTTTCCACCAGTCACATAACTGAAGGTTTTGTAGTCCTATTTGCATATTCTCATTTTAAAAGAAACATCAAATTTAAAAATATGAAGAGGTAACTTAGAGCAATTCAACTCATTTAACTTCTGCCTTATTCAAGCTGAGCATATACAAACCAGCAAAATATTTCCCAGAGAGAACTGTCATTCCCTGGAGGTAATTAATTCCCAGGATCCATGAATCATCTAAAAAAGGGGAATGGAGGGGATCCTTTCTTTGAAAGACAAAGGAAATGGCTTAATGCTTCTCAGATGTTTGTGGCATTTGAAGGAATCACAAAGAATAATTTTAAAAATAAATAATAATTTTAATAATGCCAAAAAGCATTTATTGAGGCAAAAATGTCTTTGATTTTGTGGAACAAAGATGACCATTAAAAAGCTTATCTTTTTTTTTTTTTTTTAAGTTTATTTATTTTGAGAGAGAGAGAAAGAGAGAATATCCCAAGCAGGATCCATACTGTCAGCACAGAGCCCAACATGGAGCTTGATCTCAAAAACTGTGAGATGACCTGAGCTGAAGTCAACAGTCAGACGTTTAACTGACTGAGTCACCCAGGTGCCCCCAAAACATAGCTTTTCTAACTGCAAGTTCCATTAAATAAGATACATTTACACCTAAAACATACTAGCTAAATATTGTTTAGAAACACATATCAAATATACTAATAACTTTGCTTTCTCCTACGTAAAATACAAGAGATTTTTAAAGTTTAAAATATATAATTGTTTTTATTCTAACAGTAATATTAGTTTAATAGCTCTAAAAGGAAGCCAATGTAACAATTTCCTTTTCAGAGGTGGCTAGCTGAATATTGGACTTTAAAAAATATCCTTAGATTTTCTTATATAGGCAGTGATCTCTTCTTACAGAGCTATTTGGTTAGATCATATTATAGCTTTATATTAAAAGCAAAACAAAATAAAACAAGAGTAACAAAAAACCACAAACTCTCAACATTAAAAAGACAACTAAAAGCACTGCTGATGAAAAAAAAATGAAAAAAAAAAACCCAAAAACCTAGGTTTTTTATGATTCAATGCTATCAGAATCAAAAGGAATTGATACTCACTATTCAGTTAACTGTCTCAAGTCTCTAGCATTTTTCATAGCATAGAATAGCCACTAAGATAACAGAAATGAAAATCTACAATCACAAATTTTTTTCTCTAAGGTTAACACAAAGAAGTTCAGGAAAGCAGCAGTACAATAAATCAATCAACTGCTGAAAAGTTTAGATAACTGAAAAACAAAAACCCAAGACCCTCGTACATAAAATTATAACTCCTTTCATCACAAGTTAGTAGTTAAAATAAATTAGTTCTCAACCTGCTATGAGAAAATAATATTTTCATTACTATTTTGAAGTACAGGAAAAAGAAGGTTAAGTATACTAATTTTTTCTTCTGAACAAACAATAAATTAGCCCCATGCATGAGCAGGGGAGGGGCAGAGAGAGCAGGAGGCACAGAAGCTGAAGGAGGCTCCAAGCTCTGAGCTGTCAGCACAGAGCCCGACGTGGGGCTCGAACTCACGAACTGTGAGATCACGACCTAAGCCGAAGTCGGACGCTTAACCGACTGAGCCACCCAGGTGCCCCAAGGAGATCTTGATTTTTAATGTGCTCATGTTAGCAGGCTATTTATGAGATTCCAATCAGAGTAGATATTTCATTTATAAACCATAAAGTGAATTTATGGGCTGTGGTCACTGTATCTTTAATAGATTACAAATGACAATTTTCAAGTCTCTTAAGGAAACAGATAGCAATTAAAAACAACCTACAGATACATTTAAAAAGTAGTCTAGACCTTCAACGACAACTGAAATTACTCCTCCAGAAGGTTCCAGGGCAAACATCTATAATGATTTCTTGGGTATTTTTTTTTCTCTTGTGTGTCTACTTAGTAAGTAGGTTCTACCAATTAGTTTTTCTATATAATTTTTACCCAACTTTTTCTGCTTTAAGATGGAAAGAACATTTTTCATTTGGGGATTCACTTAACTTGGCAATGACTGACTGGGGAAAGGGTAAGACAGAAATGGTCTTTGAATATACATTCAAAATATACCAATATTTTGAACATGATTTTTTAAAATAAATAATGTCCAGTGAATCAGATTTCAAACTTACAAGTATAGTTTGTTTAGCACTATAAAATATATATTCTAGAAAATATCATAAACTGAAATTCTAATGTGGAATACCTTTTGAAGGTAACAGAGAAAGCTAGATGTATTTAACAATTTACCTTGTTTCTAATTGTTTTATACTAGATTGTAACTGCTGTAAACGCCTATCTGATGCTTCCTCTCTTCCCTGGGCAGACAACATATCCTCCTCCTAGAAAATAAAGAAATTGGAATCCTGAGTATATGAAAATATAATACATCATTATATAGCATAAAGAAAAGAATTCAGTCTATAAAGGTATTATACTTCTAGAATTTATTATGTAAGTTTAAAGAAGGGATGACAGGGGCACCTGAGTGGTTCAGTTGGTTAAGAGACTGACTTTCAGCTCAGGTCATGATCTTGCAGTTCACGAGTTCAGCCCCATGTTGGGCTTTGTGCTGACAGCTCAAGGCCTGGAGCCTGTTTCAGATTCTGTGATTCCCTCTCTCTCTCTGCCCCTCCCCCACTCATGCTGTCTCTTAAAAATAAACATTAAAGAAGAAACATTACTAAACATTTAAATATGAGAGCTGTCCATGAAATATGTTTCACTAAAAAAATTCTGTAGCATAGTATTTGTGGTACAGACTCCTTTTACATTAAACAAAATTTAAGTATATGTGTGCGTACACACACACACACACACACACACACACACACACACACACACAGAAAAAAGGTCTTTACGCTATAAATAATCTGTTACCAGTTATTACTTCCTAGGGATTTGACTGCAAGGTAATTTTGTATATCTCTTTATTGCATATTTTGTATATAAATTGTGCTTTTCTTTGTGTATTTCTATGGTATTTGCGTTTTTATGAATAGCATGCACTACTCTTATAACTAGAAAAATAATAAAGTTGAATTTTTAAACAAGTAAAAAAGAAAACCAGCAATAAGTTTAGAAAAAAATCACACATATACTAAATAAAAAAGGGGGAAGAGACCTATTAATTTTATATTAGAAAAACAGTAATCAAAAGTCATTATAAGTTTCACCAATATTTCAATCTACTTCTATAGTGTAAGTCTAACAAAACACAGCACGAACTGTATGTAGATAATCAGCCTTTAGAATATGCTCTTTTAACGTGGTTACACAGCATCCTGTTATAATCACAGGATATTTCTTCTCTGACATAGCAACATTCTGAAACAAATCGGTTTGATTGGCACCACCTTAAAAAAAACCCGTTGATACTTCCTTGTCTTCTGTTGTATTAAACATTTTTTACATACCATTTTAATTCTATTGGCTTTTAGCTGTATCTCTTTAAATTATTTTTTAGTAGTTGCTCTAGAGATTATAACATGCATCTTTATCTTATCCCAATTTATTCAGAGTTAATGTTTAACTCATAAAAAACATTTGAACCTTGCAGGAATGTATTTATTTCCATGTATCATCCTAGTCTTTAGTGCCATTGTTATATTACATCTGTGTACTTTATAAATCCATCACATATACTGCTCAATTCTGCTTTAAAGCAATTTTTTAAAAGTATTAGAGAAAATAAAAATATGTCCATATATTATCTCATATTTATAATTATTATTGCTCTTATTTTCTCCCTATATCTGAGTTGCCATCTGGTGTCATTTCCTTTTAGCATAAAGAATTAACCATCATCATGCTTTGAAGAATAGCTCTGCTAGTGACGAGTTCTCTGTTTTGTTTATCTAAAATGCTTTTATTTTCCCTTTATTTTTAAAAGCACAGTTTCACTTGACACAGGATTCGTAGACAGCATTTTTTTTCCTCTAGCACTTCACATACTCTTCCAATGTTCTCTGCTTCCAAGATTGTTCTTTTTATTACTATGTTTTTTAATTTATAACCAAGTTAGTTAACATATAGTGTAATAATGATTTCAGGAATAGAATTCATTGATTCACCACTTACATATAACAGCCAGTGCTCAACCCAACGCATGTCCTTAATGCCTCTCACCCATTTAGCCCATCCCCCCACCCAGCACCCCTCCAGCAACCCTGTTCATCCTACATATTTAAGAGTCTCTTATGGTTTGTCTCCCTCTCTGTTGTTGTATTATTTTTGCTTTCCTTCCCTTATGTTCATCTGTTTTGTACCTTAAATTCCATGTATGAGTGAAGTCATATGATATTTGTCTTTCTCTGACTGATTTCCCTTAGAATAATATACTCTAGTTCCGTCCAAGTTGATGTAAATGGCAAGATTTCATTCTTTTTGGTCACTGAGAAATATTCCATTATCTATAGATACCATATCTTCTTTACCCATCATCAGTCGATGCAAATTTCAGTTCTTTCCATACTTTGGCTATTGTCGATAGTGCTGCTGTAAACATTGGGGTGCATGTGCCCCTTCGAATCAGTATTTTTGTGTCCTTTGGATACAGATACCTAGTAGTGCAATTGCTGGGTTGTAGGGTAGTTCTATTTTTAACTTTTTGAGGAACCTGCATACTGTTTCCCAGAGGGGCTGCACCAGTTTGCATTCCCACCAGCAGTGCAAAAGGGTTCCTCTTTCTCCACATCGTCGCCAACATCTGTTGTGGCCTGAATTGTTAACTTTAGCCATTCTGACAGGTGTGAGGTGGTATCTCATTGTGGTTTTGATTTGTGTTTTCCTGTTAATGAGTGATGCTGAGCATCTTTCCATGTGTCTGTTAGCCATCTGGATGTCTTTTTTGGGAAAGTGCCTGTTTGTGTCTTTTGTCCATTTCTTCACTGGATTGTTTGTCTTCTGGGTGTTGAGTTTGAGAAGTTCTTTATAGATTTTGGATACTAACCCTTTATCTGATATGCCCTTTGCAAATATCTTCTCCCATTCTGTTGGCTGCCTTTTAGTTTTGCTGATTGTTCCCTTCACTGTGCAGAAGCTTTTTACCTTGATGAGGTCCCAATACTTCATTTTGCTTTTGTTTCCCTTGCCTCCAGAGACATGTCAAGTAAAAAGTTGCTGTGGCCAAGGTCAAAGAGGTTGTTACCTGTTTTCTCCTCTAGGATTTTGATGGCTTCCTATCTCACGTCTAGGTCTTTTGTCCGTTTTGAATTTATTTTTGTGTGTGGTGTAAGAAAGTGGTCTCGGTTCATTCTTCTGCATGTGGCTGTCCAGTTTTCCCAACAGCACTTGCTGAAGAGACTGTCTTTTTTCCATTGGATATTCCTTCCTGCTTTGTCAAAGATTAGTTGGCCATATGTTTGTGGATCCATCTCTGGGTTCTGGGTTCTGTTCCATTGATCTGTGTGTCTGTTTTTGTGCCAGTACCACAGTCTTGATGATTAACAGCTTTGTGAAATAGCTTGAAGTCTGGAAATGTGACGCCTCCAGCTTTGGTTTCCTTTTTCAGGATTGCTTTGCCTATTTGAGGTCTTTTCTGATTCCATACAAATTTTAGGATTGTTTGTTCTACCACTGGGAAGAATGCTGGTGTGATTTTGATAGGGATTACATTGCACGTGTAGATTGCTTAGACAGAATCAACATTTTAACAATATTTGTTCTTCCAATCCATGAGTATGGAATGTTTTTCCACTGTTCTGTGTCTTCTTCCATTTCTTCCAAACCTCTCCATAGTTTTCTGTGTATAGATTTTTCACCTCTTTGATTAGGTTTATTCCTAGGTATTTTATGGTTTTTCGTGCAATTGTAAATGGGATCGATCCCTTGACTTCTTGTTCTGCTGCTTCATGCAAGGAATTTCTGTACATTGAATTTATATACTGGGACCTTGCTGAATTCCTGGCCAGTTCTAGCAGTTTTTTGGTGGAGTCTTTTGGGTTTTCCACATAGAGCATCATACTGTCTATGAAGAGTGAAATTTGACTTCCTCCCTGCCTATTTGGATGCCTTTTATTATTTTGTGTTGTCTAACTGCTGAGGCTAGGACTTCCAACACTATATTAAATAACAGTGGTGAGGGTGGACATCCTTGTCGTGTTCCTGACCTTAGGGGGAAAGTCTCAGTTTTTCCCAATTGAGGATGATATTAGCAGTGGGTTTTTCATATATGGCTTTTATGATCTTGAAGTATGATCCTTAAATCCCTACTTTGAGGGTTTTTATCAAAAAATGAGGCTGTATTTTGTCAAATAGTTTTTTTTTTTTGCACTATTGAGAGGATCATGTGTTTCCTATCCTTTGTTTTATTAATATGATTTAGCACAATGACTGATTTGCAGATTTTGAACCAGCCCTGGATCCCAGGAATAAATCCCAGTGATCGTAGTGAATAATTCTTTTAATGTGTTGTTGGATCCAGTTGACTAGTATCTTGTTGAGAATTTTTGCATCCATGTTCATCAGAGGAATTGGCCTGTAGTTCTCCTTTTTAGTGGGGTCTTTATCTGGTTTTGGAATCAAGGTAATTCTGGCCTTGTGGAAGGAGTTTGGAAGTTTTCCTTCCATTTCTATATTTTGGAGCAGCTTTAAAACAATCAGTGTTGGGGCGCCTGGGTGGCGCAGTCGGTTAAGTGTCCGACTTCAGCCAGGTCACGATCTCGCGGTCCGTGGGTTCAAGCCCCGCGTCGGGCTCTGGGCTGATGGCTCAGAGCCTGGAGCCTGTTTCCGATTCTGTGTCTCCCTCTCTCTCTGCCCCTCCCCCATTCATTCTCTGTCTCTCTCTGTCCCAAAAATAAAAAAAAATAAAAAACGTTGAAAAAAAATTAAAAAAAAAAATCAGTGTTAACTCTTCTTTAAATGTTTGGTAGAATTCCCCTGGAAAGCCATCCAGCCCAAGACTATTTGTTGGGAGATTTTTAATTACTGATTTCATTTCTTTACTGGTTATGCGTCTGTTCAAATCTTCTATTTCTTCCTGTTTCAGTTTTGGTAGTTATAGGTTTGTAGGACTTTGTCCATTTCTTCCAGATTGACCAGTTTGTTGGCATATAATTGCTCATAATAGTCTCATATTATTGTATTTCTGTGGTGTTGGTTGTAATCTCTCCTCTTTCATTCATGATTTTATTTACTTGGGTCCTTTGCTTTTTCATTTTGATCGATCTGGTTAGGGTTTTATCAATTTTGTGATTCTTTCAAAGAATCAGCTCCTGGTTTCACTGATCTATTCTACTGTTTCTTTGATTTTGATATCACTGATTTCTGCTCTAACCTGTATTATTTTTCTTCTTCTGCTGGTTTTGGGTTTTATTTGCAGTTCTTTTTCCAGGTCTTTAAG